TTCTTGAATCCAATTGAAACTTTGGAATTTTAATCTACCTTGCTTCTGAGTAATTTCTAACATCAATACCAAATTAACCACACATTGAATATTGAATATTGTGAATGAAGTCATCATTTCCTTTACGTTCACTGATCCTAACATAGCTTGCAATGAAAATTTATTTAAACCAAAACAACATGAAAAAATTCAAGCTAAAGCTAGCATATACAATCCTTTCATAGCCTAATCTTGAAATCTTATTTGAAACAAATGTTGATCATGACTTGGAATAACTTGAAGTAAACCTTGAAAACAAATTGACACATGACCTAAAACCAAAAATGTATTCTATATTGGCTACCTCGATTGCAACCAACTTGAAACCTAATTGAAAAGGAATTATTCATGATTCATCCTTAAAACAACTTAGCACATTAAGCATGGCCTTGGCACCAGGTTAGAGTATAACCAAAAATGAATCAACACCAGACTAGGAATCAACTTGAAGTAACTTGAATTATTTTGGACACAAACTTGAAACAAGTGAAGGGCATAAAATCAACTTGAAGTATGGCTCAAAAGACATTAAATAGAGATTTGTAATCAAGATGAAATAAGGTTCAAACCACCTAAAAACCAATGATTATGCTTTGAAATGGATCCACTTATATAGCTTGTGCCATTGACCATGTCATAGCTGCTTGACCATGAGAATGATGGCACATCCTTCCACAGGAACTCACCATATTTCTAAGGGCCTATAATTATAATGGACACACACAAAGCCTCTCTGACTTAAACCGTAAAGGATCATGGCTAAAGGTCAGATGATTTTTTTTAGAAAGGTCATGAAATAACATATATGTTTCGTATAAGAGAATAGGAGAGTAGGATAAGTTTGTGGTATGATAGATGCCCTTATCTAATTGTCTTGAATCCGAGAAAATGAGTTGTTGCATGGTGTTCACTTTAAGGTAGAAGGCAATTAGATACAAGAAGACCCCAATATTTGTCTGTCAAGAATACAATGCAATGAGATATACCATAATGGGATGACAAGATGCACACTGAAGAAGATAACTTGAGGTTCTTCGGATGGTCGAAGTAGTAACTTACCCACTACAGTTCTTCGATGATACCAAAGCAGTATCTCGACAAAACATGATATTCTTCGGGTGCTCGAAGTAGTACCTTGTCCATTAAGATTCTCTGATGATACCAAAGCAGTATCTCAATGAAATATGAGATTATTCGGGTGGTCGAAGCAGTACCTTATCCATTAAGGCTCTCTGATGATACCAAAGCAGTATCTTACCGAACATGAGATTCTTCGGGTTGTCGAAGTAGTATCTTATCCATTAAGGTTCTTCGATGATACCAAAGCAGTATCTCAACAAAACATGAGATTCTTCGGGTGGTCGAAGTAGTACCTTATCCACTAAGGCTCTCCGATGATACCAAAGCAATATCTCTAAACAAATGAGAGATTCTTCAGGTTTTCAAAGTAGTACCTTATCCACTAAGGTTCTCCGATGATACCAAAGCAGTATCTTTGAAGAAATGAGAGATTCTTTGGGTTGTCGAAGCAGTACCTTATCCACTAAGGTTCTTCGATGATACCAAAGCAGTATCTCGACAAAACATGAGATTCTTCGGGTTATCAAAGCAGTACATTATCCATTAAGGTTCTTCATAGATACCAAAGCAGTATCTCAATGAAACATGAGATTCTTCAGGTGGTCGAAGTAGTAACTTATCCATTAAGATTCTCCGATAATACCAAAGCAGTATCTCGATAAAACATGAGATTCTTCTGGTGGTCGAAGCAATACCTTATCCACTAAGGTTCTTCAATGATACCAAAGCAGTATCTCTGAACAAAATATGAGATTCTTCACAAGCTTAGAAACTCTAGCTTAGCAACTTCTCACACTCTTGATTCTTCTTAAATTGGTCTTGAAACAACATCTTAGATGTTTCAACACAACTCTCCATGATCACAATGACTTGGAATTGAGTCTTAATCTCCTTCAACTTCACAGTTGACTTAGGGTTGGCCAGATGAAAACCCTAGTTGCACCACCTTTGACTGTGGCTTCTTGCTCTTGGTATAATGACTTGGACAAGCTCCTCAATGACTATCAAGACATTCAATGAGCTTATATAATGTTCTCCATCCATAATCATGGACTCAATATCCTCTGATGATCTTCCCATGGCCTCCAAGATAGGAGGTGAACCATATTCATTCATCTGCCTTTTTCAAAGAACTTTGACTTTCTTCTGATGATGATAAACATTGGATAGCTTGAATAAGACCTTTTACTTAGGCTTAGAAACTTTGGTAATCTCCTTTTGCTAGGCACACCTCTCTCAATCCCCTGTAAATGAACAATGGTATACAAATACTAATGCTATGAGAATGCAATGAAACATAAATCAAGTTAGAAAAAGGTTGGACAAATTTTAGGGTGCAACACCCATTAATTTTTTTTTACAAATTTACTCTAATTTCTTATACTCTGGATTTGGATCTTCCTTTGTTCAGCCTCCCATGCCTTCTCTTTGGCATTAATCCAATTTATATTTTGTTTCTCTTTTAATTAATTGTGAATTTTTATCTAATTATTGGTAGAATGATGATTGAATGAAAAACGTAGGAGATGATCCTACATATAATAAAATAAAAGGGTTTGATATTATATAATGTTGGAACAACTACAAGTTAATCAAACTAAATTTTATAATGCTACTCAACAGTGATCTTTAAGTTAACTTATTTGTTGTCATTCATTGAGAGAGAGTAAATTAATAGTCATTCTTAACATATTGAGAGCTCTAACTTTGTCTTGCTTTCATAAGCATCTTTCAAATGATAAACTAATGTGTCACTCTCCAACGTGGATGAATAGTAATAGTAGCTATACAATATTTCATGTGAGTACTACGCATACTACATGAAAAAGAAGTGAAATTTTGTACTTCTCATGAGTGTGGTACGTAATTGTGTTGAAAAGACATCAAGTATTGAATCAAATTTTGTTATTATAGTATAATAATAGTGAAATCATTTGGTAATTTGGGGGAACCTATATATCGAAGATGCCAAAAGAGCAAACTTGTGCGAATAAAACTCTCAAACTGCAGGAAAAGGATTGGTTGCCTTCCCATTCCTATCATAGAAAAGTTGACAAATTGGCACGTTTTGGGAAAGAATAGTATTCGTTGATAAGTTACGATTCATAGTTGGTGACCGATGATTTATAATTAATAAATTAATTAAAATGTTTGATAAAAATAGTTGTTCAATTACTTGATAAATTAAAATGATATAAAAGATATTTAATATATTTTTTTTATTTTAAATTAAAATAAATTATAAAGAGTAGTAATGGATTTTAGTTAAAATAATAAAGACAAATGGAGAAGAAAAAATGATAAATTATAACTTATAAGCTAAAACGTTATTAAAAATAGTTTCTAGAAAATAAACTATAAGTTACTAAAATAAGGTTTAGACTCTATTTGGTAAAAATAGTGGTGGCTGATAAGTTAGGTCATTTTTGGTAAAAATAACGACCGATTGATAAATTAGTTGATAGCTTATAGTTTATAATTGATGGCAGATGAGTTGACTAATATTTATACTTTATAATTGATGGCTAATGACTTATAGTTGATAAGATAATTGAAGTGTTTGATAAAATTAGCAGTTTAATTAATTGATAAATTAAAATGACATAAAAATGTTTTATGTAATTATTTTATTTTAAATTAAAATAAATTATAAATGATAGTATTTTATTTTAGTTAAAATAATAAAGACAAAAATGGATGAAAAAATAATAAACTATAAGTTATAAACTAAAACGTTATTTGAAATGACGTACGAAAAATAAACTATAAATTAGTAAAATAAGTTATAAACTCTTGATAAAAAGACTATTATCAAACTAATCTTTTATTATTATATGAGTTTATAAGTTATAAACTATGAACTAATTTTTTTATTTTTTTTTCAAATAGAGGGTAACTACGTGTTCGGATGATATAATCTGAATATGTAAATTTTTTTCTAAAAGAAAAAAAAATTCATATGAACAACTTAGTATTTATTGATTAGGATCCGTCCAGTATTGATTAGGAGGCGTCAAGAATTGTTTATTTGAATTAAAAAATTCATGCAATTTGATAGAATATATATGGTTTAATGAGCAAAACCGATTTATTAAAACTAAAAATTTTCATTAAAATGGTCATGTATAGGATGAAATGCCTCCTCCAGCCTCTATGTGTAACAAGTTACATAAATAAGGGTGTGCCAAGTAATAAGCAACTGAATAGACATGGTTATAATTAGCATATTACTATTACCTTGTATTGTAAGGTTTAAAATCAAAGTAATATAAGAAATTACACAACACACACAAAAAAGTTGAGGAATTGAACAGAAGAAAAGTTTCATAGCTGGATTTGGATAACTTGTCAAAAGTACAATGGCGATTGAAAGGGAAAATTGTGTATTTATACAACAAATTGAGGACAGTGAAAATATTACAACACAACTTACATTGGTGACTGATTAGTCAATAATATAGCTGTAAAAATATCTAAAACTGTTGCACAACAAATTGACTTTTATGTACAAGTTTAGTCTAAAATTGCGGTAACTTCTTGTTGTCACCATTCTTGGTACCATGGCAGAATGGAGAATAGCATCTGCACTACTTGAGCCGTAAGCTGACAAAAACATAATTCACTACATATATTTACAGGCGATTCTGCTCCTCTACTTCCCCTTCAATTTCAATCCAGATTATCTTTCTAACTCACATTTTCCCTTCTGTGATTCCGCATCCAGAAGGTCGGCCGAAAATATACAACACCACACCTTTCCTCATGACAACATCCAATATATATAAATAGCACAGATGGGTCATACATTATGAAGTATTGGTTTTCATGAGTAGGCCTGTCCTCATAAGCACGGAAAACATGATTGTTGACTTCTAATTCTCTCACTTTCTTTCCTTAATTTGCTCCCGGGCTTTATTACAAAGCTCTAACATCTCGGCATGGCTAGGATCGAGACAAAGGGCAGCTTCACAGTCTCGGACAGTAGAAACAAAATCACCCATTGAATCATAAAATGCCGCTCGAAGATGTAACAGTTGCAGTTCTGGCTTAAAGTTGATGGCCCTTGAAAGCTCTACTATTGCTTCAGCTTCCTTATGATCGTCCATTAAGACTGATACAAAGACACCATGTCAGAACTTCAGAAGTTTTGTGACACCAAGACAAGGGTTTAGTTCAAGACTAAACCATGATAAATTATTATGCCACAATGCTTATAGCAAACACAGTACTTCTGTGTGAAGTAAAACCAAATATCAAGACAACAAAAGCAAAGAACATGAAGGAGGTTCTAATAAATTAGGTCGTCAAACAAGAACAGGATCAAACAGAAAATGATTCATTTCCTGTCTCACATCATAAATGACTGCTGGTGACAAGATAAACTAGGCCAAAATGAGCATGGCACCCTCCCAATTGTGTAACTTGATACTTGTTAGGCAAGTTATCAACACAAACTAGCAGAAAGTTTGAACAGATATTTTATTCCTCAAGGCTTTAATACTTAAAGCTACATCTAAAGCTCATTTTGTACTCAATATATGTGCGAGCACCATATAATATTTCCCATAATCTGCAACCCAGTAAGAGGTGAGTATGTGAACCAGACTGTCTTGATGCAAAGGAGTCAGCAGGTCGTAAAAGACATGGGCTGCAGAATCAGGACAGCCAAAAGGATAATATACTTTTCCGCAGGAAAAAGAAGAGAAGATGACTCTAGCATGGCTAGCTAGTTTTTAACGCCCTGATAAAGACAAGTCTAAATATGATGGCAATAAGAAGAAAGTAGGGGAAATCTGGGCAGCTACACTGCTACGTTGGTCCCTAGATGCATACCCTGCTGTCCATGGATACAAGGATTTTGTTTTTTTACTCTAATATAACTAAGCATTTGTTTTTATATTCTAATATAACTAAACAATATCTTAAAAGTAAGACGGTAAACAGGTTGGCCTGTAAGCCCACTGTTAGGTCATGTCCTTGTATATACCCAGCTCTCTAGCATGCTTAGAGGAGTTAACATAATACTAATGCAATTTATATTAGAGAGATTTAGATGGAAGTTGGCGTAATACAATATTCTGATTAAATTAGAGAAAACTTAATCACCTATGTTGTCAACTTAAACAAGGTAACTTAGGGTAAATAAAAATTAATGAATAGTAACTAGTTGTATGGAAACTACCTGCCGCCCTATATCTGTAGGGATATGTCCTTAGAGGATCCAACTGTGTTGCCAAACTAAGATCACTCTTTGCCATGTCACGGTCGCAATATTCTGAACGTTTCTCATAAGCTGATGCATTATTCAGGGCCTTTTCTATTAGTTTTGTCATCTCATCATATGCCGCTTTGTGCTGATTTTGAAGATGATATACACGTGCCAACCCCTGATGTGCTCGTGTATGCTTGATGTTAAGCGCATGCTTGTAGCAGTCAGCAGCAAGTTCTAGCTTATCGCAGTCTACATATATACTCCCTAAATTATTTAGAGCCTACAATGTTGAATGGCAAAAATAAAGTTACTGATTCAGCACCAGAATAAATTTTATATATTTAATCTCACTACATTGTAACACTAACTTGTCCTTTCCGAAGACCATCTGAAGGGCATTTAAGAGCTTCCTCCAAGAGATCAATCACACTCTTTGAAGACTTGGAATCAAGACATGAGTCAGCTAATGCATAAGCTTTGAGAAAGAAAGCTTCAAATGACCTTTGAACAGAAATTGATTCCTCGGCCTTTGCTATAGCTTCTTCACGGTGACCAGTGTCATACAATATCCATCCTTCATACACAAGTCTTTCATGTGCTGAAGAAGAATGATTTCTAGCCAGACGCAAACTACGCATTGCCGCCTTTTGAGAATTTAACCTGCAAAATTCAGGAACGTCAATGCCTAAAATGGACTAAGTCGTGCTCAGACATTAAAATTACTGGAAGACAAAACATTAACTAAATATCTTATGTGAGCAACGATCAAATACTAGAAAGAGTTCATTGCATAAATGCATAGTGCAATGTATACATGATGGATAATGAAAGGTGGAAAGCAAGTGAAAAAACATACATCCACATCATCAGCTTCCAAAACAAATATTAGCTTCCACAGAGTTAGAGAGGACAGCAGGACACAACAACAACTCAAAACACGACTTCTCGTGATAAACTATAAGACCTACTATATGCTGCAAATCATGTAAGACTTACACTCACCGTAACAGAAGTAGAGATTGCCGAAAGCGTAAAACACTTTTCCCTGGATTGTTTTCTAACATCTGGTGTACAACAGCCAAAGAACCAATATCATCAACGGAAGACCATCTGTCATACAATTGCATCCAACAATCAGCCTGATTCCACTGCTGGGCAACAGGGCGGAGGAGTTCTACCAAGCGAGTGCCTTGCATATTCCCATGGAACATCATATAATTTGGATCCAATGTCAAAATTGCTCTGACATCCCTGAGAGCTCCTTCATAATCCTTCATGGCAATCAAGAACCAAGCTCTCAATTCAAGGCAGTCAGGAGAAATCTTGAAACCAATTATTTTATTGATTTCAGAAATGGCACCTCCAATGTTATTCTCCTCCACCATAAAAACGGCCCGGTGTTTGTATGGAAAAGAAAGAGTTGGATCTAATTCAGTTGCGGAGACCAAGTCCATACTCTTTTCCTTCCCAATGCAATACAAAGACCTTTCCTGATACATCCAACCAACAGGTTTATGATCAGAAATAAGGGAGTTTATCATTTTGTATGCAGCATATGTGTGCCCTCGTTTATATTGCGCTCTTGCAACACCCACTGAAGAATAAATATGTCCTTCCTTAAGAGCAGCCTCAAACCAATGTTGTGCATCTTTGTATTCTTTTCTCTCAAGCATCACAACACCTAATTGGTGATAAGCAAGTTGCTTCTGCCAACCACTTGCCGCACATTCTCCTAACCTCTCTAAGAGCATCACATACGTGGTAGATTTAACATCCTCTTCCATCGCAACCTGACTCAAAAAACAATACAACGAAAAGGACACATGCCCTATCGAGGCCAACCTATCCCTACCCTCTACACTACAGAACAATTTCATAACACTCAAACGGTGCATCGAACTAGGAAGCTCTCTGAGAAACACCTGCAAACAAGCTGCCACTAGCAGATATGCATTCTCTTCCAGTCCATACTCAATCAACAACAATGCATCATCCAAGTCGAATACCAAAGAAGCCAAATGAGCATCACAAGCAGACTTCATCTCCATGCAACAAAACCTATTCGCAAAAGAAAGCATCTCTAGGACAACATTATTCGGAAACTGACTCAACATCTTGGTTCTACTAAAAACCTCAACAGCCATCATCACCTCAACATTAACACTATTCAGAGAGAAATTTATCCTCTCCCTCCTAGACTCAACATATCCACCATACAACATTGCCATAAAAGGCCTCGAAAGTGAGGCCATTGCGTATCTATTACACTTAATATCACTATCACCTATACAAAAATACATATCATGATAATCACCATCACCACTACCATCATCTTCATCTCCATAAGAAGTTGAGCATTCACATTCACATTCCCCATCATCATTATCAACAATAATAACATCTTTACGATAACACAAACAACGATCAAAACCAGATTCAGGATCATACCCTGTAACCAAACTAGCCTTAGGGCATTCAAGGTTTCTTCCACAACAATCCATCGCTGAAGATCCAACAAGTTCATCCTCTCTCCTCTCATACCTCAACCACGAGGCCAACACAACCTTTGAATGCACATCCACAGCATGCCGCCTCGCCGACCGGAGACACCGCCGGAACAATTTAACATCCGGTAACCCCTTGAACACCGAGCACTGCTCCAAAAACGCCTCCGATTTATCAACCTCCCCGCAACTCTCGATCCGGCGATACACACCAGCAAGCGTTTCAACCAAATCAACAGGCTTCAAGCAAGGCTCAATCGAAGGCTCTAGAGCCTCCGAAGAGGGAAGGCCACAAGGGAGTAGACCCTCCAAAACGACGTTGGGAGTCGCCGTTTTTGTTCCAACCGGTTTGAACCGACCGGATTGTTTAGACCGGTCTAGTAAATGATGAAAGAGTTTATCTCCGATGGTTTCTCCACCGCCGCCGGTGTTGGGAGAATCGGCGCCGGCGGAGGAGTTAAGAGCGTAGACGTGAGTTCCTTTACAACCATCCGTGATTTTCGTACTACGGATCGAGGTGAGGATGTTGTGTTGCATCTTCCAATTTTTTTGTGTTTTTTTTTGTGTTTTTTTTTTGGTTTTTCTGTTTCCACTAAATTTGGGAAATTAACGGTGGAGGTTTTAGATTTTAAGGTAGTGGAATGAAACTGGATTGAGAGAGAACAAAACTGGATAAATATAAAAATTATTATTAAAAAAAAAAAGTGGGGTTTTTTTTAGATTCCCCTATTTTAGTTTTAGTCTTTGAACTCAATCATTTAATTATTTATTGTTTAATCGTTTTTAAAAGAAAATGAAAAATGAAAAATGAATGAGGGTGGTGGGAAGTTGGAGATGAAGCTAGTTTTTTTTTATTATTATTAGAATTCAGATCGTTTGTCCGTTTTTTTAATGTACACAGCATAGAAAAATAAATGTGTGTATATTTTAAGGGTAATATTAAAAAAAAATAGTTTAACAATCTTTGCTTTCAAGCTATCTACCCAGTATCCAAAAAGAATTAAAATTAATTTATATTTTTATAGGAGTTTTCAGTATTACCCTTATGAAAAGAAATAATATATTATTAAGGTTTATATGGACACACGTTAAAAGAAAGAATATATCTACCATGTGTCCATTTATCTGCATTTTTAATGAACACACTTAAAATATAAATAAATATTTTTTTTATTTAATTATGCTTTAAATTTAAATTTTTTAGGTACTCTCATCTTTGTAAGAAATTTTAAAATATCATTTTTTTAATTAATTAAAAGTTAAATTATTTTTCAAATTAAATTTTTAAGTAATATGACATTTATTTTGCATGGTTAAAGATGTGTTTAATATAATAAAATTCAACTAATTTAAGAAAGTGAATGGTTAGTGTTTCAAATTTTCAATAATTCACAATAAATTTTGTTGTTAATATTATTATTCTTTTTTTCTCATGGTTAAAGATGTGTTTAATATAAAGGTCACACGTATAGAAATAAAAAATAAAATACTGAAATTATGTTATCCTTATTTTTTATGTGTTTTATTTTGTATATATAAGTTGAATGAGTGGAAAGTTACTCAACCAAATAGATACGGAAGTTGTTTAATGTTGTAATTGTCATTGTATATAATTGTGTATACATATTCCATTAAAAAAAATATTCTCATTTATAATACAGATCAACACTTTGAAAAATATAACAACAAAATATGTAAATTTAAATGACAACTAATTCAATTATAATCAAATATCAAAGAAGAAAGATTAGAAACAAAAAATTTACCACGACAAAATATCACTAATTATAATCAAAATTAAAATAAATAAAAAATAAGTATATGCAATGGAAAACGATAATTTGAAAGAAAAAAAAAAGATAATGATTGAAAAATAAATAAAAAGAGAGAAGAATTGTCCTTTAGAGATGATTAGGGGTTCTAGTAATCTAGAGTTCGGCCCGAGAGATCATAAGCTTGACCAAACATTGTTCCCACCAAGATAATGAATACAAATTATTTTAAAAATAGAGTAAATTAACATCAAAACAATATTCTAAATAATTCATTTGAACACAAATTATTTTTAACTATATGAAATAAGTGATGAACAACAAAAACTGAAACTATACGAATCAAGCATGCATGAAATCTACAATAACAATATAATTGTAAATTTGAGATGAATTATTCCATAGTCAAACATAAAGAATCAAAAAAATTATATACAACAAAAAAACATAAATAAAACAAAATTATATCAAAGTAGAATGTAAAATTTAACATTTTTGTGTAATATAATTTCTTCAAACATTTATATGATTGAATTATCCCAACGTTTAAATGATAAATAGTAACATAATTGGTTAAATGACAAATTTTAAGTATAAAATAGTGATATATTTTAGATTGAGATAGATCTCAATTTTCCTAGATAAGATGGATATTACATTTTTTTTCTTTCAAATTTGCTGCTTGAAATTCTATTGTACATGCAAGTTTTGTTGGTAAAGTCCTTTCCTCATCGGTTGCTGCCATATGAGAAGCAAAAGTGACGAATAAAAATGAAGCAAAAAATTTCAAATGAGGGAAGTTATTCAATTACCTTATATTTTGTTTTTTAATTATAAACGGTCACAAAATGGCTTTTTGATTTAAGAATGATGTAACTGTCTTTCACTTATTATAATTTATCTTTGAAAATAATAATTTGAATACATAAAGGGTAAAATAGGAAAGAAAATAGGACTATGTGTAGTGTTTGGGGTTTGTTGTAGTTTTGAGGAAGTACCCTGGGTTGGTTCTTGATATGGATTTGGTGTTTGATTGTATGGATAAACCTAGTATTAACAATGGAGATAGAAATAGAAGATGATTTTTAACAATGAAATTAAACCTACTGTCAAAACAAAACAATTAATGGAAGTTATAAATGTGAAGTTTTTTTTGTGAGAGAAGGAAGTTAGTTTTTTAATTGGTAACTGTTCTGGTCTGGGCCCAACCTCGGTCCAGCCCAATACCACGCACGGCTCAATAAGTGAACTGGCCACACCGGGCATGCGCGTCCCACAGGACGGGCAGGGTGTTGCACCCCAAAATTTGACCAACATCTCTTTACCTAGCTTGTGGTTCATCACATTCATCATTAGCATTATCACTTGCATTTCATTGACATTTATGCAAGAGATCAAGAGGTATGAGTACCAATTAAGACTTTGAAGCTAGCCAAGAAGGTTATTCAAGTGTTCAAGGGTTGATATCTTTGTCAGAGAAGTTAAGAGATACTCAGAGAGATTGGTTGAAACCAAGGTTGTGTGCCTTCTAACTTGAGAGTTGTGGGAGCTCCTCAGATGATTCTGAAGCCATGAGGATGGACTTGAAGCTTTGAGAGAGCTTATGAGATGCCTTGAAAGCCATCATGAAGCCTAGAGAGGTCATTGTGCAAGAATAAGAAGACTCAGCCATGAGTGGTGTAATTAGGGTTTGACTGGGTCAACCCTAGGTCAACTGATGATTTGGAGAGGGTTGAGACCTAATTCAAGAGCCATGTGATCATGTATTGATGCATTTAGATGCTATAAAGATGATTCCAAGATCAACTCATCATGATTGAGGAGTTTGAGAAGTTTCAAGCTAGGGTTTCTAAGGCTTGACAGTGTAAAATCCCCTAGTTTGACCCCTATCTTCAAGGCAGTTTAGCTCAAGATGTGATTGTCATATCATCTTACCCCCAACATGAATGTTGTAGAGCTTGCTCTTAGATTTAATTTGAGTACTAGAAGTCCTTGATAGGATTTGTAGAGCTCAAGTTATGACTTTGACAAGTTACAGGTCATCTGAGGTATGTGAATCTGGGGCCTTGAAAGTCACCCAACTTGCATCCAACTTTTGCCCAAGAAGGATGATTCTTATGAACTTTTAGTCAACATGAATGTTGTTCCTCATCTTCTTAGCTTTCTATATAGTACTAGAAGTCCTTGATAGGATTTGTAGAACTCAAGTTATGGCTTTGACAAGTCAAGGGCATTTTGGTCATTTGGAGATTATAGGTCATTTCAAGCATAAGGCCATAACTCCTATTTCCATGCTTCAAATGGAAAAATATTCAACATCAAACTTGCTTAAAATGATGTTTTAAGTCTAGTAAGGAAGTCATGAGATGTTGAAAAGGCCTGTAGCTCAAAATGGTAAAAATGACCTAAAATGGAGGCATAAGTTAAATAAGTCAAAGTTGGAAATTGAGATTTTCTAGCTACACATCCAAACCATGGCATGTAATATACCATTTTGACTCTAAAAAGCATTTTAGAAACAATGGTTCAGCCACATTTTTTATTTGAGGTTCAAATCATGGACTTGCTTTGGAAAATGGTTGCTTGCATATTAAGGTACATATGCAAAACACAAGGAAAAGCAATACACAAGCTAGCAAAGTATCCTAACATGTCATGCATCTCATCTAAGGAGATTTTCAAGTCAGATACAAGTGCTGCAAGAGGTATAACACAAGATGGTACATGAGATGGCTTGAAATCAAAAACTCATGACATGAGAATCTCAAATTCTCATTGGATGATTCCAGAAAGTTCTGGATGGTTTAGAATCATCCTATATAGTGATTAGAACTTGCTCAGATGCAAGGTTGGTGAGAGATTTGAGAGGAGAGTGAGATAGCCATTTCAATTTCTTCCATTGCAAGTTGAAATCAAATTCCACTTTCCACACCATTTCCATTGCTTCTTTCAATCCCAACACCTTCCATTGATGATACTGAATGTGTGCATACCAAATTGAGGGCAAGATCATGAAGAATTAAGGAGATAGCTTTTGGATTTTGAAGGCTACAAGTCACCATCGGGTTTGGAGATTCAGGCTTCTTTGATCAAATCTTTTGCAAACAGAAGCTTTAACATCAATCAAGGAGTGATTCTGAAGAGTTAGAGAGGTTGAAATGGAGCTTTGACCTATCTGATAATCAAGATTTGACAGGTTTGTAACTTTTCTTCTACACCTTGATTTAAGCATAATTAGGTAGAATTGTTAGGTTAGAATGGTTAGAGACAAGTAGGAGATGGATTCTGGGAAGTTTGAGATCAATTGGTGAAGTTTGAGTTAGTGACACCATTTTTGTTTTGATCAAGAACACGATGTATAGTGAGATACAACATGAGTTTAATAGCAAGATTTAACCAGTGTGAGGTGGTGATCATTCTGAGCCAATCAATTTCAAGAATCGGTAAAGTTGAAGTTTGAGCATAGTTTTGATCTTGGATCGGGTTTAGAGATTGAGGGCATTTCAATGAAATCTAAGGCTATGGTTGTGATCAGGGATGAATTTAGAACAGATTAGGGTTTTGAACCATGGATTTTGGTTGAGTTTGGATGGAGTCCGAGTGAGGAAGATGATGATATTTGAAGTCTGCAACAATGGTGGTTTCCCTCCACATTCATGGCTCAAGGAAGATGATGATGTGTGGGCCGTCAGATGCACAAGGACTTGTTGACTTTATCTTGATCCCACGGCCATGATGTAACCTCACGTTTGGAAAGGAGTTCTG